CTCAACCCATCGTTATCAACATAAAACAAACCCTCATACCCAAGCGTAACACGGATCCGTTCTGCATGTACCCGCGGCACCTTGGTCTCCATCAAGAACACAAAATCAGGCTTCTTACTGGACGCTAGGCCCACAATCTGTCGAACTGTGCGTGGATTGCCCAAGCCACGACAGTTCCAGCTCAAAGTACTCATGATAATGGGCGGGGCTGGGCACCAGCTCCCGCCATGGACAAGTTTTTTGAGCCATCTTGCATTGTGATATTACCCCTACTACCCATATCCTCCGCCCCATCCACCTGCGCCTGCCGTCGGCGTTTCGCCGATGCCACCACACATCCCTCTACCACCTTTCCCGTTCCACCCCCATTCTCCAAATCCACGACAGCCGTAACACCAACCGGTTCCCGAGACACCACCGGACGCGGACGCCCCCCTACCGGTATGAGCCAGCTATCCCCAACCGCTCTAGGAGCGCTCCGGGATCCACCAGCACGCATATCCGGACCATACGGGTACCGTTCCAGTGGTATTCCTGCCTCCCTTGCATGAATGCAAAACGTGTGTAGATGCCCCATGAACCCACAAAAATAACAGAACTTATGCAACCGTTCATACCGGAAAGTGACCCATGCGGTAGTCTTATCCCTCTTCATCAACTTCATCCCCCTTCGTAAAGGGCGATCAATCGGTATGGATACCCGAATCCGGTGGAAAGTTAACCACGGAGCCCCTTCATATCGGTCATCATGTTTAATAAAAGTGCCCATAAAATTCCCCGCTTGTTCCAAAATAGCCTGCGACGTATATCCCCTGGGCATATCATGTAGCTGTATCCACATATCAATCATATTCAGTTGGATATCCCCCGGCAACACACCATCCCGGACTTCTCGACAAATCAATGCATTATTCTCGAACGCCCAGGGACCACCATTCAAAACATAATCCATGTCTGTTTTATGAAAGAAAACGAACAGGAATAAACCTTTTTGGATCTCCGTTACCTGCACTCCTCTAACCGGCTGCCACACATATGCAAGAACCTGTCTCATAAAATCAAGCTTTATCATCTTCTGCGTGAGAAAACGGCCAACCACCTTCCATGTCTCTTCCTCCTCACCCACCTCACCGTCGTCCTCTTCACCCACTGCCGGCACAAACGCAGCAGTCTCCTCCTCTAACACCCAGTCTGCCCAGCGATCGGTAATTGCCGCTACACCTGCCTCATCGTCCGCTGCAACTTCCGGCGTAGGAGGCCGCATGGTGACATCGTTCTGCTGCTGCAACCCTCGGCCCTCATCTCCAATCATTCCCTGCGTATTACCGGCCATACGACCGAACGGTTCCACCAGCGACCTTGCGAAAACCTAGAAACCCTAGTATGGATGCGAAAACCCTAGATGTGTTCTAGAGAGAGAATTTCTTTTCGAATACACGTATCTATAAATACATAACAAGATAAAACATTGGACCATCAAGAAATCAATTTTACAAGCATTTAGAGTCGTCAAAGCAAGATAGTAGGGTGGGGCTCGTTAGTTTTGCTAACTTGAAATCGCCCCCGTTAAGTAAAGAAACGACCCGCCGTTACTGTTAACGGAGTCCGCATGTTTAGTGTATTAAATATCAACTGACACTACAACATATCTAAACCGACACTGCCTCACATATTATTGTTATATTATCAAATGAACCTGCAGTTGTATCAAAATGATATTGTAGTTGTGGTGAAATGAAACTGCTGTGTATATAAAATGAAACTGAATAACATTTCACATATTTAAGTGTATATTGTATAATGAAGCTGTAATTATATCAAAATGATAATGTAATTGTGTTTTAATAAAACTATAGTGTATATAAAATAAAATTAAATAACATTTTCACATATTTGAGTCTTAAATATCGAATGAAATTGTAGTTATATTGAAATGAAACTGCAATTGTGTTGAACTGAAATTACAGTGTATACAAAATGAAACTGAATAATAGAGTTACTTTTTGTGAAAGGGTATAGAATGATGAAAAACAAATACTGTTTCTTTTTCATTTAACAAACAACATCGTTGACCAGGACTATATGGTCTAATGGTACCCGGGTTGGACTTCCATTTGGAAGATTATGAGTTCAAGCCTCAGTGGAGGCATTATTGGTTCTTTGTGTTTCAGTAGGTTGAGAAAGTATATGAACAGATACTACAATGTAATAGAGCCAGTAACTTTCAAAAAAAAAAAACAAACAAACAACATCGTTGTATACACCGCGGGGCATGATATTATTTGTCCCCTCCCTCCCTTAGGCCCGTGGGCCGTGGCAGGAACTCGACAAGTTTAAAAAACTTTGCATATAATTAAAAATTAATATAAAAAGTTAATAAGTGTATTATATATACATACACCGATAGCTGTTCAAATTCACTCCGTCCCGATAATTAATAAAATAACTATTTCAATGAATATCCTACTAAAAAGTACCTAGAATTACATCTGGCATAATGATGAATGATGATTATTTAGGATCCTTTGCACTTAAGAAATAAGAACACGTGGGCACAAAATTGCGAAGGCAACATTTTGCATTTATTAACTTTGGTTCCATTATTATCTTATCTTTCACATAGAGATTTAAGTATTATTTCTTTTTGTCAAGTACTTTATGCACAGATGACACTCAAATTGGACTCTCATATGAAAGGTTGTAGACTGTAGAGTCAATATCATTCAAAATATATATATATATATATATATATATATATATATATATATTATTTCTTTCACATTGTAATAAAGTCAATAGTATTAAAAAAAATTATTATTATTTCTCTCACATTTAATATATGACTTATTTTGTTACATTTAATTTCTTTTACCAAATATGTAATATAAAAATAAATAAAAAAAAAAAGTTCAACACGTTTTCAGCTCATAATTATATCAATTTAACCACTTACAAGGCGTTTGGTTGGAGTGTGAGAATTATGTGAGAAAGGAATTGTAATTCCATGGGAGATGAATTACTGGGAATAAAGTGGGAATTTAAATGTAAAAAAGTAAGAAAATGGCATGTTACATAGTGTATAACTTATATTACGTGTTCAAATTATTATATAAAAAGACTAAAAAAAATACGGAGTAATAAAAAGTGTGAACCCCTTTTTCTTAATCAATTAAAACATGTCATGTTAGTTCGAGTAAAAAAAACAGTGAGTCTATGTAGTATTACTATAAATAAATAAATATATATATATATATATATATATATATATATATATATGATTTTGAATTATGAATGTATGTATTCTGATATTTTAATTAAAATTTTGATTAAATAATGTTACAAAACTAATAGTTAGAGGCTAAATATAGTTGTAACAAAGTAAAAAAAAAAAAAAAAAAAGTCAATTCTAACTTTTTTTTGGTTGGTTCCATGTTATAAAAACGCATTTTTTGAGTAGTGGGAGAGTGGCTGGAATGATGAATTGCATTACGACATGCCAAATGCGATAAATGAATGTTTTTGTCAATTTTTAGATGAATCTAACTTTTTAATGCCTCACTCACAAAGGATTTGGGTTTTAGATTTTTTGTTCCAAGTGGGAGTACGTGTGGGGCACATATTTCCACTTTTTTTTTTTTTTTTTTTTTTTTTTTTTGGGTGTGACAAGAGACATGTAGTCATAATCATACATGAGATGTAAGAATTAAGAAAATTGAATGTGACGGATTTGATTATAAGAGTTTTAGCGAGAATCAAATGATTGATTTTTGCGTACAAAAATCATGTATCACCCACTTTGTTACTCCTTTTAAGTTCGTATTTTCACATTTGAGTTTTGGGATTTATTCAATAAGATTTGTTTAATTAAGGTAGAGTTAGATGTGATACAAATTACATAATCATGTACCTAATTTAAAAATATTAATAGTTAATGATCAAATTTGATACATGTATAATAGTCCAGAGACATAAAAAATGAACGTTATGCTGTGAGTACGTGCCCACCTTGCAAGGTGGACACAGTTCCATATTCATAATTTCTATACTGTAGATTCATAATTTCTATATTATAGGTTCATAAATTTATATTTTAAATTCATAATTTTTAAACCGTAGGTTCATAATTTAAATACAGTAGATTCATAATTTCTATACTGGAGATTCATAATATCTGTACTGTAGATTCATAATTTCTGTACCGTAAATTCATAATTTTTAAACTATATAGTTATCAATTATGAACATATAATTCTCTGATTTGTGAAAACAGGGTACAAAAATTGGAATCTACAGTATAGAAATTATGGATCTACAGTATAGAAATTATGGATATGAAACTATGCCCACCTTGCAAGGTGGGCACGTCCTCATAGCATAATTTGCCCATCAAAAATGAAATTTGTTCTAAACCAAATGAAAACTCAGAGGAAGAGTCTTGGACTTTAACACTATATTGACCTCATACAATCGTTATGCGTTGGACCCGTGTCCAGCATGCATGCTGGACACGGGTAACAGTGCCGTTAGGCACTGTTATTTCTTTTTTTTTTTTTTTTTTTTTTTTTTTAAATTTCAGACCGCTTCGTTATAGGAGTATATGTTCATAATTTTATTACTATATGTTAATAACTGTACATTCATAACTCCATAACTGTACGTTCATAACTCTATAACTGTACATTCATAACTCCATAACTGTACATTCATAACTCCATAACTGTACATTCATAACTCCATAATTGTACATTCATAATTTTCGAAGCTCTATGTTCACAATTTTAGAGCTCTATGTTCATAATTTTATCACTATATGTTCATAACTAGTATTGCACTCGTGCGATGCACGGGATAAAAATTAAACTACATTATAAATAACATTTGAAATAAAAATATACATACAAATCTGCATTATAAAAATGTGAAATATGCAGTACAAAAAGGTTAAAAACAATAGTAGACATAAAAAAGTTAAATACATTGGAATAATTATATATACTAAATTACAAATTTTTAAAAACCTCGTGATATACAACATTTACAGTTGAAGAAGAATACTCCCCATTCTCACTCAAAACAACCACTTTAAGACCATTTGGATTGTCAACTCTAGACAAAGCCACATACAATTGTCCATGCACAAAACATGTTTTTTCAGAAATAAGCCAACATTTGTAAGACTTTGTCCTTGACTCTTATTTATTGTCATTGCATATGACAACATTAAAGGAAATTACCTCCTTTGGAACTTAAATGGCAATCGAGGATCAGACGGTGTCAATGACAATCTTGGAATTAAAACTCTTGTACCCATACTACTTCTTGACATCACTTTCGCTTCAACAACATGATCTCCCAATTTAGTAATGACTAATCGCATACCATTACACAAGCCAAGAGTGTAGTCAATATTGCGCAACAACATAACTGGAGATCCAACTTGCAACATAAGGCAATGATTTGGAATACCCGAGCATTTCAACGTGTTAAGAAACTCTGTTGTATGTAAACCAGCTAAAGTGTTGACACCAGAATCTGATTGACAAACAGAATCAGAACTGAAATAAGTTCTAATAGCTGTCGGATTCAAGCCACTCATGTAATCATTGATTTCATGCACTAAATCCAAAGTTGGAGCCAAAATAGCTCGACCATTAATAGATTTCATATCAAAATTACCTGAGCAAAATTCCGGGAATGTACTATTTACTATAGCTGATATCGAATCTCCATGTGGCCACAATACATTTTGTTCTGGAATATTTATTATTGCACACCCATCATTTGGACCACCAATCAAACCATCACCCATACCAGCTATCCACTTCGAAAACGAATTGATATGTTCAGCACTGTCATCATTGCCCAATCTTTGTAGTCTCAAATTCTTAGTCAATCTTAGAACCTTACAATTTTGCCAAAGATAAGAAGAATTGATGCTTGCTCCAACAATATCTTGTCTTGTTCCCTTAGGAATCACAGGCAGTATTTGTCGAAAATCACCACCAAGAACCACCGTTTTTCCTCCAAATGTCATCTCTGTGCTCAAAGGATTCACAAACCGTAATAAATCTCTCATAGTTCGGTCTAAAGCCTCAAAGCAGTGTTTATGCATCATCGGAGCTTCATCCCAAATAATTAGTTTGGAGTTTAAAATTAGATTAGCCAAGTCACTCCCTTGAGAGATGTTACATGTAGAATCTTCAGTTATATTTATAGGTATAGCAAATCGGGAATGAGCAGTTCGACCACCTGGCAAAAGTAGAGAAGCAATACCACTCGAGGCGACAGTTAAGACGATGTGACCCTCAGAACGCAAAGCAGCTGATAGTGTTTTCCAAACAAAGGTTTTACCAGTTCCTCCGTACCCATAAACAAAAAATAAACCACCCCCAGCATTCGCAACATCACTAAGAACTATGTCATAAACATGCCTCTGTTCATCTGTCAATTTCTCGACCAAATTATCATGTTCAACTTTAAGAGCATCACAATCATATGACAATTCTTCATCTAACAACTGATTTCCATGAGAAGATGAGGAACTCATATTTGGCAGAGGCATAGAGGGAAAGCAAGAAATACTTTTTCCAAATACACGTAAAAGCTTTTCAATTTCCACCAAAGCATAGTCTGCCTTTTCTTCATCTGTGAGGATTAAACCTAAAAAAGGAAATAAGATCTAAATGTTACTTATATCAGATGATCCAATATAGAACAATCATGTAAATAAAATGTATGTATTTTGAATCCTTAGAAAGAATATAAATAAAAAAAACCTGGTTTATCTAGTAGTTTCCGCTGGTTGAACTCCGCATCTTCAGCTAAGAATATCCATACTGCCTCCCAAACAACTTCTGGTCGAATAAGAACGTTTGAAGTAAGCATAGTAACAAATAGTCTCCTCATAGAAGTTGCAGATGCCCATTTACTTGCTTCATTAATCGCATCAACATATTCCTTGTCATCTGCTAATAAACCACGAGCATAGCATGCATCTCGAAACGAACTATACTGCACCCCCTCAACAATACGAAGATCTTCATAACATGTTTCACCACGAACCAAGTTCAACAAACACCTTAGATAATAAATTTCACCAGAACCTGGAGGAACAAAAAACATACGTCCAATGGCAAACCCCTTACGTCTAAAATGCCACTTTCTAACATCCTTTCTCCAAACAAATTTGTTGGGCATCTGACCATAAGTTAACTCTTTAGCTTCGGGAAACTTTTTATTAGCTTCAAACCAAGCTAAAAACATACTTTCTCCAACACTCGGGCGACTCAAAATATTATCAACACAATCATCATCGCCATAAACAACTAATTGTTGATTAGGCAAATGGAAACTCAATCTCTCAACTGCAGGAACTCTGAATTGAATGTCAAATCCGAATAAACGCCATGTTCCTTCGCAAGCAGATATGTAACGACAATCATAGAACATAGATATCTCATCTACAATTTGGCCTTTCTCTAAATCATCAGAACTTTTGTAGAAATGAGTTGTAACTCGATCATGCCCCTTGTTGACATACTTAAATAAGTACTTGATAGAACGGGACTGGTTACACCACTCAATATTGATATGTGCTCTATATTTAAGCAACAAATATTTGTAATGCGGTACAACAAATCTGTTAACCAGCTCAATTCCATTTTTCTTAACAAACCTTCCATCATCTCTTCGTCTATAAATTGGATAACCATCTTGATCAAAATTTGAAGAGTCTACAAACTTCTTTGGAAAATGTTTAGAACAACGACCATTAACCATACACGGAGAATTCTTCCTAAGATGACCACAAGGACCATGAATCATAAACTCCTCAAGAACCCTATAATACTCACTATCTACTTCCTTGTCTGGAATTTCAGCTGAAATTATAGTATCAATATTTTGACATAAAGCTCGACTATCTTCTTGACTCAGAAATATCAATATATGGGCATGCGGAAGTCCTCTTTTTTGGAACTCAACAGTATAAATAACTACATAAAGAAGTATTAAAACAGAAATTAAAAATAAGATAAGAATGATTCTCATGTATATATAGGAAAAGAAAAATACGTACCTGCAGTTACATTACCAAAAACTAATCCAGAACGGATCTCCTTGATCAACGCATCCAATTTCATTTTAAATAACCGACATATGATATCAGGCCGATCAACAGCACTCAAATGTCGCTCTCCCAAATACCTCTCTATTTCAGGCCACTTTGGATTACATGTAAATGTAATAAATAAATTAGGATAACCAATCCATCCACAAATTGCCAAAGCATCTTGATAGTTCTGAATCATATACCTAGCACCTCCAGTAAAGCTAGAAGGAAGAATAACTCGTTTACCATGACGACCAGGCTCAATATCACCTCTTGTTAATGCATCAGACAATCCCTGATAAGCTCCACACCTTAAAGATTTTTGATTGGTGCGAATATACAATAATCGACCAGCTTCAACCATAGTGTAACCATCAACCAAAAATTGTTGAAATAATCTCCGAGCATATAAAATTGTTGAAACTTCTGATGAACGCTCATGAATACGAAAAGCAAGATACTCGCGAGGTGAAATACGGTGTCTAGATCCATTTTCAACTACTCGAACAATGTTGAAGCCAATATCCTCCCTATAACCATCTTCACCATATGGAAACAACAGTGGATACTGTAATGGAAGATAAGCTGGATTGAGCTCACTAGTCCTCTTCAACAATCCAGACTTTGTTTCCACTAATATATCTCGCTCACCGAGATGCGCATCCAAGTCCCCAACAATAAGTGCAGCAACTTCAGAAACTGTGGGCAAATTATATGTACGGGCATCTGTGCTACGCTTCCCAATCAACTTCATTTTAACTTCTACTCTTGGATTTGACTGGATTGCTTCTTTCGCCATTCGAAATGACTTAACCAAAACATTGCACTCATCTAAAACAGCTTGAATATCAACAACAATCTGAGGGTGTAAGTCTTGTACATCACTTTCATTCCTTCAAAATTATAAAATTTGCAAAGTAAAATGAATTTGAGAAATTGATCAAACAAATATATTATAAAAACATAGAAAACAATTAGTATACATACCTGACAGCACTAATTCTATTCATAACTTCATTTGCAGAGTCATAAATGTATAGCTGTGCGAATTTGGCTGAATTACCTTCAGTGGGTAATAAACTCCCCATCAAATGAAAATTCTGACCGTTCAAGCGAAAGATTGGTGGAGATGATCCAGAATTTACTTGTTTATCAATTCGACCACCCATTGATGTAAAACTGAACATATTATTGTAAGATCGTATATTCTGCAAGAAATTTTTACTTCTACGATCGCCACTAAAAAACAAATCAGATATCAACTTAGGCGGAGGAATGATAGGTGCCAACTTAATTTTTCCGTTACCACAACATATAGAATATTTAGGCAAACTATTCACCCTTACACTCTTTAATCTCTCATCATACCAAAACAATGCATCACAATTTGACACTTAAAATTCGGATCCCCATTGTCTAAATACACACCTACAAAAAAAAAAATGTTCACAAAAAAATGTACATATATAGATAAATGAACTTTTTGAAAACTTTAAGCTACCAAAGGTATACAATAATTTAAGAATTTATATACAATTAATGGTCATACAATAGATTTTTGCTTATTTTGGATAGGTTATCTACATATAATTGATTGTCCTATTGTTAGTTGAATATACTACTATAAGAATAAAATAAAGCAATATATTATAACGAAAAATTAGGAAAAAAATGCAAAAAATACCTGCATCAGTTACATTTGTTTTCCTTCGCCTTGAAACACTTGGAATATTCAATATGATTTTAGAATTATCAACAATGTCGACTGTATGATTACACACCAAACAAATCAAGTCAAAATATAAATTTACCTAACATTTAATATAACATTTTTAAAGAAAAAAAATAAATTACCCGCTTCAGTGCTAGTACTACCAATATGCCTATTCAAGCATTCAACATTAGAAGATATCGTAGTATTGATTTGATTGCCTACATTAAAGAAAATACATTTTATAAAATTTAAAAACACAAGATTTAATTTAAAATGTGATAAAATTACTGTGGAACTTACAATTTGTTAATACACTCAAAGGCGTATAAAGAGAATTTTCAAAGACCCCCACAAAGCATGATTTATGTGCATGAATCCCAAACCGATTGATCCTTCGCGTTCTAATCTGCTCAGGAGTTACACTATCCACATTCTCTAACAAAAATCCAAGATGAAATTGTCAACAATTTATTGGTTCCCAAAATGGAAAATTTAAAAATAATTTCAAATTCATTATATGAAATAGACAAAATCATTACTTGTAACATTATTTAACGTAATATTTAATTGAAAAAAAAGGGAAAAAGTGTAAAAATGCTTTAAAATATATTATTATTATAAAGTCAATGCAAATATCGAGATGAACAATTTATAAATACAAATATATTGAAAGCAACTCAATAAAAAAATCACATTTTTAATAAATATATTAACAAAAAAAAAAGAATTCACACATTTTTTTTTTTTGAAAGTTACTAGCTCTATTACATTGTAGTATCTGTTCATATACTTTCTCAACCTACTGAAACACAAAGAACCAATAACGCCTCCACTGAGGCTTGAACTCATAATCTTCCAAATGAAAGTCCAACCCGGGTACCATTAGACCACATAGTCCTGGTAAAGAATTCACACATTAGAACATAAGAATAACAAAAAAAAAAAGTAATATTAATATCAATAATGATAAAAATATTTAAATATTTTCAGAAACAATAACAATATTATGAATATTAATAACGCAATACTACTAATCAATACAACAAATTAAGGAATAATAATAATAATAATAATAATAATAATAATAATAATAATAATAACAACAACAACAACAACAAAAACAACAACAATAACAATAATAATAATAATAATAATAATAATAATAATAATAATAATAATAATAATATTGATAATAATAATAGTAATAATATATATAAAAAAAAAAACTAAAAAAAAAAAGGGCCGAAACCCAACTAAACTACCCAAACCCACATATCTAACCCGTTATTACCCAACCCAAACAATAACCCCAGAATTTCATCGCTCCACATCCCTCTCCCTCGCTCTGTCTCCTCCTTCGCCATTCACCAAAAATGTCGCGATTCATCGTCTCCTTCGCGACAACAGTACAATTCGCTCATCCCACCAACCATAAATGATTCACGAAATATAAGCCAACTACCTCTACTCTCTTCAATCCTTCAAGCTTCATCCTCTAAACCATGAAAACCCCTAGTCCTAGATGAAATACTCCAAAAATCGAAACCCAGAAATCGGAAGAACTGGAATCAAATCGTCTACTTTTGAAACTTAAACTCGATCGGCAGTTTAAGGAAACAATTTCCCCACATGCTGTAAGTTTTAATTTCAATTTTCCCTAAATTAGTTTGATTTATTTATATACTCCTGAAACCCTAATTTCTATGAATGCAGATGTACGTAGCTAAGCCTAGAAAGAAACAAACATACATCAATCAACAGCAAAGAAGCCTAAAAAATACCAACAAATTATAGGCAGAAAATATATACGAAAAAGATAAGTTTGCTTTAATTTTTTATACTTCTCATCTATATATTTTTTGTCTGTTTTATAAATTATTTCTACAAAAATCTTTAACTAAGTGTTGATTCGTTTCTTAGTAGAATACTGATATGAACCCTATATATATATATATATATATATATATATATATATATATATATATATATATATATATATATAATGCTATATTTAAAATTTGTTTTTAATATCAACGTAATATATCAAATACGTCCATTCTAAATATGTATTTCACAATTATTTAATGAATACACAAAGAAAGAAAAAACTACAATAATAATATAACAAACAGTTATAAAATTTATTGAAATGAAACATTATAATATTCTTATGAGATTAAAAAAAAAATTTATATACACACAGAATTTAAAAAATCAATAAAGATTAATGTGCAAAAAAATTCAATAACCTGGTTCAAATTTATACTCCAAATTATATAAATATCCACAATTAAACAAATTAAAAAGTTAATATATATATAAATTTATATTTAAAACTATATTTTATTATAAAAATTATTTTGTATAACTGGGCCAATCTATCTGAATATATATTATTAGATAGATATATTATACCCAAAACACTGGCCCAACAGATCTTATAAAACCCGACCCAAACATAGCCCACCATATAAAACCCCCCAAACCCGAGTCCGTGCAACCTTACCGCCCCATTTCCTCGCCGTCTCTCTCGCAGCTCTGCCCTAAGCCTACCTCCGTCGACGAAGAAGGAAATCAGGCAAAAATACCAACTCGAAACTACAATCCGACTTCCATACTACCAAAATCACTTTAAAAATCCTTCATTTCACCATTCCAAAACCATTAGAGAATTTACCCACATTGTTCTACACAAATCTGATTCGATTTGCATATACATTTTCGAACACTATGGAGGCAAGAATCTACAATACATGGTAATTTAATTCTAATTTCTTTCAGTTATCTATATATTTTTATCTAATTAAATAAAAATCCTAACCAATTTCAGTTATCTATATATTTTTACCCACTGTTCTACCCAAATCTCGGTCGATTTCCAGATATCATGTTCGAACAATATGGATGGAAGATTATACAATACCTATTTTTTCTCTATTTTATGTCATTTATGTATATATATTTTTTCTAATTAACCGCAAACCCTAACCAATTTATACGCATGCAAATAAATTTCGAATCTGGAAAACGAAAATAAAGAGGATTTGAGCTCTAAAAAATATAAGTTTTTCTCTAATTGTAAAAAATAAATTCTCACTTAAATATTCTAGTATTTTTCTTCAGATTTTGTTAGTTGTACTTAAATTATGTCATTTTGAAATATGTGTTCTTCTAATTAACCACAAACCTATTTTGTTCGCAGGTCAGATCTAATTTATTGTAGATAAACAAAACTAAGCCTGAGAAGGAAAATATAATGCGAGTGAAGAAAACCAAATTGGCAGTACTCTTCAAAACAGAACGAAAACTGCACATCATCAAAGATAAGTATAATTTGCCAATATTACAGTTCTTGGACAATTTTTTTTTTTTTTTTTTTGCTTTAGCTATATATTTATTAATTCTTTTACTTGTTTAGGCATTAATTGATGTGATTTTAAGTATTTATATGAAACTTGTATTTATAAACTGTAGTGTAATATAAAATGCTTTCATACCTTTGTTTGAAATCCCATACTTTCTCTTAGGCAACCAATTGTAGTAGATTTTTCTAACTTTCTCATGTTTGTTTAAGTTTATGCTTTGTATATACAGTTACAGAGAACCTGCAGTTTGAATTGATCTTCCAAGTGTTGGATCTTTATTTATAGTGGCAATAGCATTTGATTACCCTAGCACAACTGTCATGAATACTTGTAAATGATTACTATTTTATAGCTTTTTATTAGATTTGAATTTCATTTTTATTGGGAATGTAACAGTGTACTGATAGTTGATTTTATTTTCCCAATATTGTTTAATTGGTTATCAGTTTATAAGATCAAATTTTGGCTTGATCTTTATACATGGTTTTATGCATTTATCATTTTTAATTGAGTTTACATATTAGTAATATCACATTTTTAAATGAGTTTACAAATTGAGTATCAAACTCATGACATCTGCCATACATTATACATTTGTTCATCTATAAACTCATTGATTTTTATTACAAATACAAAGTCCAGTCATATCTGAATTGAATTTATACATAATGGTTAATTAGTCGTTAGTTTTTAATTTCAACATTTTGCTTCATTGATAACAGTGATCAAATTTTTATTTTTTTCTATTAGGCAAATGAGCCTAAAAATTATATATAGACTGTTGTCAAACTATTTGGTTTCAACTGTAAATCCCTACCCAAATACTTTCATAATATCTTAAATAATGCAAGTATTGAAATTTGCATTAGATATAGGCACTTTGATTTCAACAAATAAAAGTGCCTTAATCAAATGCAAATTTCCAAGGTTTTGTATAATAACTATTGTCAAGCTATTAGGCTTCAATTGTAAATCCCAAATTAAATCCTTGCATACTATGATTCTAACCTAGTACTATTCTTCCACACTAAAATCTGGTTTTTTTTTTTTTTTTTTTTTTTTTTTCTGTTTACTTATAGCTTAAAACTGTTTTTACATAAACTATTGACTTTGAATGTATAACACATGTACTAAGTTTAGTTAAATAAATAGGATTAAAGGTTCAACAGATACTATTAATACAACACTAAGTTAGGAAATCATGATTCCAACTTAGATTTGTAACTCATGGTCATTAGTGTACTAAAAAACTAATCTAGAACCTTTTGAAAAACCTGAAATACTCCATGCCATCACTCCAGCTTAGATCTGTAAGCTTTTGTCATTTTGTGATTGAAATCTATTTACTAATTGAGTAAATTTAGTACTGTATTGTAATTTTATTTGATCATGCCAACTTAACTTATTAATACTTCTATTTTTACTTCATAAGTTGTAATTTAGTACACAGATAGATAACCTTTTTTTTTAAAAGTAGCCAGACATTGATAGTTTATATTTGCAGTTGTTTTCAGATACAAAGCGACCTAGATCTGGATCTGGATCTCAGTATAACAAAACAGTTCGCATCAAATATCTAGCAAGACTCAATAAGTAAGTTTATTTTCAAATAATACAAAAGATTTTACATTTACTTATGATGTTATAACTTCATTAATATGTATTTAATTATCTAATTCTAGATAGAGTTATCAAATGAAGATATAATTCATAAAGCATAATTAAATGAAAAGTTATGTACAACTAAAACCACCCCATTAGCTTGTACTATTTAAACTGGAAATATAAGTAAAATAAACTTGAGAATAGAAATACAAACCAAAATAAGTAGACATAATATTCATATTGTCCTTAGAGTCCCAAAACATAAGACATAATTGAAACGTAGTACATAGACTGACCCCATTAGGGAAACATTACAAAACATAGCATAGAAACCGCAAAAGCATTACATTTTTACCAACTTATAGACTGAAATAGTAGGTCTATTATAGTAGGAAGGCAGGTTGACTTCATCCATTAGAGACCTCTTCAGTGTGCTAAATAGAATAGAAATCGCAATTGCATCACATTTTTCCAACTTAATCACTGAAGTCTTAAGTCTCTTAAAGTCATCAAACTGATTGAACTCATTAATTAGAGACCTCTTAAGTGTGCTTGCAACATTTCCAGAAGAACCACCTTCATCAAATCCAACCATTTCAAAATCACCAAAGTCATCCAGACCAAATGTATCCTGAAAAAATTAAATAATACACATAGTGTTATTCAATTTTATAAAGAAGAAAACGGTTTAAATAAGAAAACAATTAAACCTCATGAGCTTGTTCTGTTGCATCTAAATCACAGTCTATAACCCCACAGTGTTTTGAAACAATGTCAGCTTGTCTACAGAACCCTAACACCCCAAATGCAGAGCTGAGACTGTCCACTTGATCTTTCTTCATAGAAATCCTAAATAGTATAGGCATCCCACAAATAGACTGCAACTCAGGTGGGATCCAACCTTTTGCATTCTGAGAAAAAACAATTTTAAGGAAATAAACATAGGAACATCTATAGCATTACCAATCCCAAATTAGAGTACAAAAACCATTCTCACCTCAGCATACTTCTCTCTTAGGGATGAAGCTGAAACACCAACCAAATCATAACATTCCTTATCCCAAATGAGCATAGGTCACTAGTACAAAACTGCACATTTGCTACTGTTGTAAAGGGCTTTTCGCCACTGTTGTACAACAGTAGCGAATACTATAGTCACTAAAAGTCATGGACTTTTCGTCACTGTTGTGGAACAGTAGCGAAAAGTTGAGTCATCTGCTACTGTTCTTCACTTGAACGGTGGCAGATTATTATTATTATTATTATTATTATTATTATTATTATTATTTTATTATTCACTTTCCGCTACTGTTCTTGTTGAAGAACAGTAGCGGATTAATTTTATATTTTTAAAAAAATTCACTTTCCGCCACTGTTCTTCTTTGAAGAACAGTGGCGGATTCATTTTAATTTTTTAAAAATAATTTAAAAATTAAAAAAAAAAACAAAACAAAACAAAACAAAAATAGTATTTGTTTTTCACACTGCAATTCTCATACAAACATTATAAAATTACAATACTTCAAGCTAAAAAACAATCAATGAATTACAAATTTACAGTTCCAAATTAAAAATAATTGAAAGCTAAGACCTGACTAAAAAACAATCAATGAATTTAGATGAATGGCTAAAAAACAATCAATGAACTAGTGTGCCAAAACTAAAACCTGGCTATAGTTGGATCGTATAGGCTCCAATTCAGTAGTGGGAGGAGTTCATTCAATTTCTGCCAAGGTTGAGCAACCAAGATGAATGGCTGCCCATCTTAGAAATGTTCGAAGATCCATCTTACCGGTACTTTCAATTGGATTTATATAAGCTGAACTGCAAAACAAGGATGTATAAAACTATAAATTAATTTCAAGTCCAGTTGCAATTTTGCAAGCAACAAAGATTTATTACTGTAAATTCTTTTCTTTTTTTCTTTCGTTCTTTTTTTTTTTTTAGGCAAGTATAACAGTAAATTTATTAAAATTCAAAATTACCTAGGTTAATCCAGATCCAATATCATTATATTAGATAATAAACTTAGATGTTTAACACATGAACTCTTAAATACATAGTAAAAATTGTGAACCTTGAGCTAAAAGATCTCTATTCACAACAGAATTGATAATTTCTTGCTAAGTTTAAGCTGCTAGCTAGCTAAGCTAATATATGTCTTGTTAGTTGTTACCTTCAGTTCTTCAAAAGCTCTAGGAATTGCTTCAAACCCTTTCCACGTATACCTATTCTTTGCCTTCCTTGAAAGAACCTGAACAATCGAGGTCAAGCAAAAAGAAGAAGACACCCTCAGTAATCCAAGTAATTAAATTGGATCCAAAGATGAAGTTAATGCCAAATTAGAATATCTTACACAACACTTTCAAGAACATTCACAATGTCATAGATCCTCCTCCTTCCAACCCCTAAACCACAACCAAAACTACCTCAAGTTCAGCACATACACTTTCCAAACATTAAAAAAAAAAAATTAAAAAAAAACTGTTTAAAATAAACCATATGCAATAAAAAAAAATTTTAAAAATTAGATCAGTACCTAGTTGCCTTGCTTCATCATCAAGCCCAATAGTTTCTATGCCTTCATGGTTATACAAGCTCAAAAAACTGCATAAACACACAACAATAAGCACAAACTTGGCTTACATCAACAAATATAGACATAGAATTTAACATTTTTGCATGAAACACTTAAACTTTTGGATCCAAACAAATTACTTAGCTGAAGATATAGGCATTTTCATGTGCATAAGCGAGAAGCAGAGAGAGAAACCTGCAGAGAAATCATTTTCATGTACATACCATGAGAGATATGAACAAGAATGGAAAAGAAGTGTACCAACAGTGAAAAACCTTCTTCTGATATGATATTTCCCACTGCTATAGTTACTGGATTCCCATTTACCTTTTACATGTAAAGGCGCTTAAAAATTAGGTCCCACTGCTAAAGATTCACTATTTTATATTATATGGATGAAGACAGTCCAGATCAGCAAAAAAATTCCTCCTATAATTAATTGCATGAGGCAAACTTTGGTGAAGTCATAAAATGTAAAAGACACTGCAGAAGGGTTATTTAAGAGGTGAGAACGGTGGAAAAAAAATCAGCCACTTTAATAAACACAATTGATAAGAGATTGGCTCTATAACATTCGACTACTGTGTCTACAACTCTACATCACAGCTATATCAAGAATTGACTGACCTCAAGTAAATAATTTTGAAAGGGAAACAGTAAGTTACACTGTAATGCTTGTGTGAACCATATGGTTGTCCAACAAGGTCACCAAGATTCAATCCTTCCATTATCTGTTTGCACCAACAACTCGTATGAATCAATTTGATAAAAAAAGGAACAAAAAGAAGAAATATATAACATTTCATTTGATTATATACTTGGTTGCTTCTAGGCCCCACTAGTACGAAAAAAAACACGTTTGCTTAGAAATATCTTGTATTTCTACTTTGTCAGAAAAAGAGATTACAATTATCCAGCATGAATGTTCAATTGTAAAGGCAATTCTTCAGTTTAATGCCTTGGAAAACATTAATGATCATGGAAAAATCAATAAACTGCTTCTCTGCGTACGTAAAACCGTATACTTAGTGTTTCGGGATACGGAGACTTACGATAAGGTCGTGGTCGATGGGCGGTGGTGAGAGGTCAAAAGTCAAAGCGGCAGTAGAGTAGTTGCGCGTCCAGTTCTCCGGTTGAAACGCATCGTTTTTGAGCCGAAAATTGTGGGAACTAGGGGAGACAGAGAAGGAGCGGCGAGGAACGTGAAAGGCAGTAACTCCGGGAAGAAGCGAACGAGCGATAAGTGTTGGGAGAGGTCTCGGCGCAGTGTCGGTCGGCAGATCTGAGAGAGAGAGAGAGTCAGCGGTTGTGGCGGTGGTTGCGTCGCAGTGGATCGGTGGAGCTAGATCTGGTCTGATGAGAGTGAGAGAGAAGGAATAGTGAGAGAAGTCATCTGGTCTGGTCTGGTGAGAGTGAGAGAAGTGAGCTAGATCTGGCAGGTCTGGCGTGATTTTTTTTTAATATTTATTTTTTTAATATAAACTTTTCGCCACCGTTTCAACTAAGAACGGTGGCGAAAAATAAAAGCCTTTTCTAAACCGCAACCGTTTTATCTTATAACAGTGGCGGATTGTTGATTAATTATTTACAAAATTGCCATCGCGAATTTTTAATTAAGAATACACCACCGTTCTTATAACAACAGTAGCTAAATGTGAGTCTTCTATGTCCATTTTTGTACTAGTGGGTGCTTCACATGTACTGTCGGTTACACGAACAACCACCTTATACTTGACAGCCCCCTCATGCCAGCTACGATCACACTTAGAGCAGTACATCAAACCTTCTCTTGGAGTTATCTTTTTCCCACAGTTAGTTCCCTTACAAGACATGTAATACCAACCATCTGAACTGTCAACATCCATAATCCTAACAGCCACCCAATACTCACATAGTTGTGTAATAGCAAAAAAGAAGTTAGTTAGCCATCTGGATTTTTTTAAAAAAAAATAAAATAAATAAAAGAGAAAAAATAATTTTTTACCTCCTTCCTGTGGTAAATCTCACTTAGAGAAGTTACAACAATATCATCACTCAGACTGTTACGATTTGACCTAAATCCAGGTAGTCTAGAGCTTGAGTCCAACTTTCTTAATGGAGTTCTGCCAGATGACAGACTGGAATAGAAGGAATAAAAGTAAATAGATTCAATGAAGAACTGAGGAATTTAAAAATAGAAACAGAATGTATAATTTATACCTTAAACTTTTCTTAAACTCCTCAAAATCTGGCATTTTTCTGATTGATCCAAATTTTTGTTGCATTAAATGAAGTTGATATGTGCACATCTCCATCTAGAAATAAAGAATATGCAATTTCAAGATGATACCACTAAAAGATAAAAGAATAAATTAATAAAACTTGAGCAATGGAGTAGAAGAATAAGAGAACACATACTATCGAAGATCTTTGCCCTACAGAACTATAGCAAAACAATCACTGGTTCTTCAGTGACTGTTGAGCTATAAATAGGCAACAAACTGTTCACATGATCCCCCCAAAGAGTACATTGAATCTGATCTTGACTAAAAGAAATAAAAGAAAATTTTATTTTAAAAAGAATAGTAATATAAAAATTTTTAGGCTCACAGAAATGTAATATAAACATGTACACTTACTTGATATCTTCCAAAACAAAATCAATGAGCCTAGCTCTCTGTCCTGCTACAACCCTCTCCACTGGAAAATAGATTTCAGTGACCCTTCCAATCACATCTAGAAAAACAAATACAAACAGTTAGGTATTAAATAAGGATAGTTTTAAATGTAAAAAAGTCTGTATTTAAAGATAAGAATATACCTATGCGCATCTTCTCATCAATATCATCCTTCCTAACCAAGGAAGATATCGATTTTAAACGAAAAGTCTTGTTAGGAAAACTGACATTCTTGTACTCCTTAACCATAGTATCATGCTTAAATTTAAGCATGTAACGATGATTACTTGTCTTGAACTTCAAGTAGTTAGTAATGCAAAGGAAGTTCTTTATCCCATAAACACAACCTTCCTTGAATTTGGTCCATTTTTGCACTTGATCCTTAGGTATAGTACAATGAACAAACACACCCTAAATGAACACATTCAAAGGTATTAAACTGGAAAGTAGTGAACATAAGCAAATACAAAGAAATTTTATGTTAATAAAATCGAAAATATTACACCTCTACATTATGGAAAACACATTCCAGACTGTTAATCGCCTTGTTTTCTCTGTTTTCGTAAACAACATATGTTCGCACCAGCCTAACTCGAATGCCTTCCTATTGCACAGTGGAGTGAGCTGAGAAGCAAGAACAAACTGACCGGCCATCAAAGAAGAAGAGCTTGTGATTCGAATAGACTAATATTGAAAGGTTGCAATGTGCAATTGCTTGTATAAACAGGTGTATTTATACTGAAAGCCATCACTTATGCTGTGTAAGTAATCATCACAGCTGAGTGAAAAAGAAGAAGAGCTGATAGTTCAAAGACCTGGTAGCCGGCTGAGGGAGATAATGCAGAGTCGCAGCAGTAGAATACTTATAGAAAGAGAAAAATTAGAAGATTAGAGGATTAGCTTAGTAGATAAAACCTAGATTTCTTATTCAAATATAATACGTTTCCTCTAGGACAGAAATCGGGAAACGAAACCCATCCCCAAAACCAATCTTTTGAATTATTATCCTATAAAATAGGATTCCAAAACCAACAAAAACACTCATGCCCACTAAAATAGCTATAAAAAAAAAAAGGAAAAAATAGATACAATAACACGCTTCCTAGAAAAAATTAATCGGGAAACGAAATTCATCCCCAAAACCAATCAAATGAATGATTATCCTCTAAAATAGGATTCCAAAACCAACAAAAACAATCATAGTATCTAAAATAACTAAAAAAAATAAAAAGGTTAAAATATATGGAAAATCTTTAGTTGTTGGGCGGGAGAATGAGAGCCAAAATCTCCTGGCTATATTGGTATAAAGATTGTAAGTTCATAATGTCAGAGCTCTTTGTTCGTAATTCGATCAATAACTGTACATTCATAATTCCATAACTGTAGATTCATAATCTCATAACTGTAGATTCATAACTCCATAACTGTAGATTCATAATCTCATAACTGTAGATTCATAACTCCATAACTGTAGATTCATAATCTTTGAAGCTCTATATTCACAATTTTAAAGCTCCATGGTCATAATTTTATCACTATATGTTCATAATTGTAAGTTCATAATGTTAGAGCTCTGTGTTCATAATTTCATAATTGCATAACTGTACATTCATAACAGCATAAGTGTACATTCATAATCCAAAAAAAAATAACGCCGTTAACGGCAAAACACGTGCGATTTTTTTTTTTAACTAAATGACGCATTTTTTTGAAAAACGACGTCATTTTGGGTCCGTGTCTGGACACGGGTCCAGGGCATAATTTGCCGACCTCATATAGTCATATGAATATACATGGGCCTGTATTAAACAGATTCAATAGGTAATATGGGCTTACAATCCAAACTTCATTTACAAAATAAAATGTCCTGACAAGTTTTATGTCAATTTTACAGTGACGAAATGGGGTTTGTTGTATTTATTGATGTAACTTTAACATGGCGTTTGGTTGGAGGGGGAGAATTATGTGGGAAAGGAATTGTAATTCCATGGGAGTTGAATTACTGGGAATAAAGTGGAAATTTAAATTCCAGTGTTTGGTTGACAGGAATAGAATTACTGGGAATTTCAATTTCAATGTTTGGTATACATGGGAATTGAAAGGGAATAAGTAGTATAAAGTCAAAAATGTCCATTATTGTTGTTAGAAATTAATTGTAGGTTAAAAAAGGAAGGGGTAATTTTGACTCAGCACTATCTTTTTTTCCCAGGAATTAAAATACCAGGGGGGGACATGGAATTTTAATTCCATGAAAATGGGGGAATTGCAATTCCATGGAATTGCAATTCCCTCCAACCAAACTACGGAATTTAATGACCTTTGGAATTAGGTGAGAATTAAGTGGGAAGGAAATTTAAAATCCCTCCAACCAAACGCCCTGTAAGATGTTCATTTTTTTTATATCATTTATTAATATTTAACTCATACATTACTTCACATGTTTCATTTTATATGATTTAAATATTATTCATTGATTACTTAACTTTTATTTATAAATAAAAAAAAAAACAATTTCTTATGCTTTTGTAAATGTAGTGTTTTGTATTTAATAGAACTTTAAATGTAATATTTTAAATAAATTTAATATTATAAAATATAATTAGTTTGAGTCAAACTAAATTTATGTATAAGTGCAAGTTCAATAATAAGAGGTTTTTAGCAAGTTTTTTTGAAAATTTTTGATTGATTTGGAGGAGATAAGAACGAGGAAAGAGAGTGTTTGAGTATATTGTATCTTGGATTTTTGTAACATAAAAAATAAAAATAATAATTCCTTCAAAAAAAATAAAAATAATAATAAAAAATCATGCATTGACGACTTGTGTGCCCAATATGTGTGTTTTCTTCACATATTCGATGGGTGCATCAGAGTGGCCGCCAACTAGTGACCAGACTTATTATTATTATTATTATTATTATTATTATTATTATTATTATTATTAGTTTAATCTTGCAAAATCCACATGGCAAAAAAAAATCTTATAAAAGAGTCTTTGATGATTGGAGATGCTATAATAAGTACATTTTAAGGCGAAAGAGTAGGATTTGACAAATAACAATTAATATTATACATATTCTCACTTTTAATTATATTTTTTTTACTTTCGTCTGATATGTCAATCATTGTTGATATTAAAGAAAATGTGAACCATAGTTCTTTTCATTCATTTCCTTCCAACAATAAAATTAGAACACCTACTATACGTGGACGGAAACTTTACTTCCCACAATATACTTATCATTTCCCACTAAGCTAAGAAATGTATGAAAAAAAAAAAAAAAAAACAAAACAAATAAACAAAGAAGTTGTGGGTTCCTATCATAGCATGTGCAGGAAAAGGAAAATTCTGATTGCAGTGGGTGTAACAAAAGGCTTATATTAATGTGGTAAGTAAGAGTTGACCAAAACTATTTATTGTAGTATATATTATAATATTAAAAAAGAGTAAGTTCAATGATAAAATGAAAAATAAAATAAGAAAAAGGAACAAAAATAAATGGGGCAGTTGGTTTTTGGTAAGTGTGGTCCTAAGGGGATTAGTTTTCAATTCCCTAGTGAACAAGGCTTGAGCCAAATGGTGGATGGAGCTATTATCCTCCATACATATATGCATTTCCAAATGATAAAGAAAGATGTTTGTCTTACAAATGATATCCAAATTTTTTTTGCTTTCCCTATGCAAGGAGGATTCTTCATATATATCCTATCTCCTATGCATCTCACTTGTTGTCCTTGTACCCTCTACAAGACAAAACCCACACACATACTCCATGTTTTGTCCAATATTTGGAGTAGATGTGAATGTATATGTTTCATGTATGAAAAATGTTTACTCTACTTTTCATGACTTTTTCTTTCTTTCTTTAGAGTGGACAATGAGTCGGACAATATTGAGTATTCTATCGTATGAGTTCTCATATGATATGTTTTGGATAGTAATGAAAATCCGTAAATAGGTTTTGGAACAATAATTATACAAGTTCCTGCTACCTTGCGAGTAGTGTTTAACGAGTTTGAAACTGGTATAGGTAATATTCATTTGGCAATACAATAAAGCATAAAAATACCAACAAATTTAGCAAATAGACGAATTAAATACCTACAGATTTACCAGGACTATGTGGTCCAATGGTACCCGGGTTGGACTTCCATTTGGAAGATTATGAGTTCGAGCCTCAGTGGGGGCGTTATTGGTTCTTTGTGTTTCAGTAGGTTGAGAAAGTATACTATAATGTAATAGAGCCAGTAACTTTCAAACAAAAAAAAAATACCTATAGATTTTAATGCTTTACCAATGAGAATCTCTAGTCGGTCCTACCCTGCCCCACTTTGGGGTGGTAGTTCACTAAGGCTCAAACTCATAATCTCCCATATGAGATATGAGAGTCTAACTTTGGTGTCATTAGACCACAAGATCTTGGTATCTTGCTCTAATATTTTGTTTTAAGAAATAAAAATGTTATAACTCATTATTACATTCAAATATTTCTAAAATATTCATACTTTTTAAAATCGTATTATACATTATTGTTCATTGTATTGTATATAATGTAAATATAAAATAATATTTCCGTATAAAAAAATAGTGCAAGCTATGATTATAATTAAAACATTATTATCCATCAAATTATAGTACATATAAATTTTAATTTATATGATTATTTCTATTTATATATTAAAATATAGTATGTAATGTAATACACTAATATAAGTTTTTTTTTTTCTTTTTAATTTCTTTTTTCTTTAAATTCTAAGTTAGCCTGCGAGGCCCGCCAACTTACATGGGGCGAGTTAGGGTCAAAGAAGTTTAAATATTATGTGTCTGTGTAGTATTAAATATTCTTATTCTTGCTAAAAGTCTTGTGATTGAACGGCATAGCTGTGGCGCATCAAATGGGACCAGTGCCGGAGTCAGGATTTTTCTTCAGTGGGGACGAAGAAGCAAAGGGAAAATAAATTCAAAAATGTTTAAATACAAAGTTCAAATACAATAAGATTGTTAAAATACAAAATACATTATAAATTACAATACAAGGTTTATGATCAACTACAGAATAATACTCCTATACACTCTCTCGTATTTTGAAGTCATTGTAGAACTGCTCCATTTGAAACTTGATCAAAAATATATTTTTCAACATACAACACTAAGCAATTATTTCAACATCCGGCAAATTGGTAATTAACTAGGGATAATTAACATATTAGTAATTCACATAACTCAGCAATTAGAGCAATTGTTAACAGT